TCCCTGTGTAAATGCGTCTTTTCAATTCGCTCCTCCTAGTTTAAAAACAGAGTATAGTACTCTCGCTGTCTTCACTTTCTTCCGATGAACCCGTATTTTTGTTCGTAAGTAAAAGCTTGGCAACGCCGAAGTTTGGCTCACAATAATAAGGGATCCATGTATCTCTATATTAGAAAAACGAAAAAAATTGCCAAAACGCCAATGACGCTTAAATGGGATGGACCTGAGAGGGAGGCAAATTATTGCGGCCTTTGTCAGGTATGATGTGTTTGGCTTTTTCTTAGTTGAATCGTACTATACCTTGTAAGTCTGTAATTTAAACAATTTTGAAATCGTTACTAACCTATCTAAATTATAATAATTTTATTTTAGGATCTGCAGCATACTCTGATTTCACAAAAAAATTCATTGTTTTGCAACCCTGTAATATTTTTCAAAAATATTTTAGATTACCAGGCCATTCTAAAATTGAAATAAAATAAAATACAAATTGAAAAATCAAGTAACTACGCACTAATAAAGACCCTATATATTTGTATTTATACTAATTCTTGGACACCCCTTATGTTTAACAAAATGAGGCACTATTATTAAAAGTCAAGAAGTGTGTTACATAGTACTTTTAATTTGGTTATGTATCCAATACAAATTGAATAAATTAAATTTTACTGAACAAGAAAAAAATACAAACGAAAAATAGGGCATAATAAAATCCAGAAGAAAACCACTTTAGAGCGAAATCAGAAATTCATTAATATTCGGTGTATCCTCCGCTGTTCTGTAGTAAGGTATTAACTTGCCTGTGCATGGAATGTAATCTATTGGGATGTTCCATTCTTCTTGGGCCACGACTGTGAGTTCTTGGAGGGTGATCGGAGGATTAATTCTGTTTAAGATTGCTCTTCCAACGAAATCCCACACGTGCTCAATGGGATTTATATCTGGCAAATTTGCTGGCCACGGTAATCTTTAAATATTCTGAATTTCTAGTGCATTTTGTACCCTTCTCGTGCGATGGGGCCTAGCATTGCCATCCATGAAAATAAAATTGGCTCCAATTTCATTTCCGGAGAGGATAAATAATGGGTTCAATAATATTTCGAACCTATTATCAGCTGTCATAGTGTCTGGAATGGGAATAAGCTCGTACGACGACCATGCCTTATGCCTCCCCAAAATATTACTGTTCCTCCTTGGTTGGTATGGAACGACTTCTTTGGCAACAGATAGTCTTTCTGGTCGCCCTGGCCCTCTCCAAACTCAGTGTCGCCGACTATCATTATTTAAACCGAAAAAAGAACATTTCGCCACTGAGCTAAAAGCCAGTCTCTGTGTTCCTGTGCCTACTGTAGTCGAGCAGCTATATATCTGAAAAGTAACCTGGGTACTCTTAAGGGGAGGGTAAAGTTAATTCGTGCAAAAATGCACAAATTTGTTTATTTAAACTAATGGTACATTAAAGTACATTATTCAAAGAATATAGTGTCAAATTGTCATGTAGAAACATTAAAAAATATGGAAATGGTAGCAATTATTCGGAAGCGTTTCGGAAAAAAGTAGAATTGCGGTGCCCCTCCTAACTCGGTGCTGGATCATCAGAAATAAAAAAATAAAAGTCATCTCGTTAAACAATCGTTTTCCCCAGGTAACTCTAGGAGGGTTTTTCGAAATTTCAATTTTTCACTTTTTGGGAACACTTTGAAGTAAAAAACACGATTCTTGCGAAAAAAAATAGGCTAATTTGTTATTATAAAATAAAAAAATATTAATAAATTGGAAAAAAACTCTCCAGCGTTACCTCTTAAATTATTTACAGAAATAGTGTTCAAAATTTCAAAAGGATAGATGCAGTAGTTTTGAAGTTATGAGGGGCACTGACTTTGGAAACATGAGTTGTGGAAAAAACGCTTTAAAGTTTTGAACACTAAAAAATTTGGAATAAAACGTTCATGAGCGAGTTTTATCGGTTTATCTCACACTGAATCATCGATGTCAGGTCTATAAATGATGTTGCTATTATTCATGATGTCTAAAGCATCTGTTTTTCTTCTGTCTATGACGAATCCTCATTCATGAGCGCTTGATCCACTACTGATTCCTATGTCTTGCATGTATGTTAGTAAAACAAAAGAACATGCCAGACCAATGCTACACTAAATTATACACAGTACAGATATAAACACGTTTGTACTTGTGTTAAAATTTCTATAAAGAAAGGTAGGAAGTAAGGTTAGGGATCATATAGTGAGCAAAACAGCTGCCAGACAATTGCGGCTCCGAGACGAATTTTCAGTGGGGGCCATTGCCTTTAGGCTATTCTCTTTTTAGCATATTTTTTTGAATAAAAGCCTCATAAATCATAAGAATTTTCATCTTTCATGACCCCTATAGCCCCCTGCCCTGGAGCCGCCCTCGCTGCAAGGTAATAATAGCGCGCTCGGGCCGGGCAGATATTTTCTGATATCATGTATGAGGCGCGGTTACTCAAACCGCTATATCTTCGTTAGTTTTGTTCCGATTTATCTCAAATTTTCACATAATATTCTTAAAAGGTCTTCCATTCATAAAATCAAATATAAAAAAATGCAAAAAAAAGTTTAAAAACTTAATGGTTTCCTAGATCATAAATTGGCTCCAGCAAGTCTCCGCCTTATTATTGAACAGAGTTGGAACAGCTGAAACTGTTACGGTTTGATTCTGACGTATATAACCTACTACATTCCGATCTTCTCTTGGATTAGTTACCCTAGAACGCCCAGTCCCACGTCTCCGGTCAACGCTGTTAGTTTCCTGGTACAAACGCCCTATTCGGATAACTGAAGGGCGAGGAATCCCTAGTCTATCTGCGATTCGATGATTCGGCAGACCCTCATCATGCAAAGCCACTATTTTTGCTCTATTAAACACTAAAATTCTATTGCCAGGCATAATTGCAAAGAAAAACTCAACAATCTCTTAAACCCGCAAAATCGATATGAACCACTTTTTAAACATTTGTACCTAAAATTGTGAGAAATTGTTTTTGTAAACTTTTTTAGATGCGTATCAACGGTGAAATAAATAAAGATTAAATGTACAAAAAAGCAGCTATGATACATATTCCGTTTTAATATTTACGAGGGGGTCCAAGAATTTTGGCGATGTGTATATTACAATATGGACGATAGTAGTGTAAATGTTAATTTCCAGTCCACTTTGGCAACATACCATCAAGTTATCTTGGCCATCGAATTCTTTGTCGGAAAACGTTAAATAATCCTCTGTAGACTTGATGAAGAAGATGAGCAGAAGACGAAGGAGTGGCATAGGACCATCGAGTTATTTTGTTGGAGAAAATTTGTGTCCTTTTGGAAATACTACTGCGCATGTTTTTTCGTTACTATAACATACTGTTCGGAGCAGCCAAATAGAATAAATTCAGTACCTTAATTACTATGTATATTTATAAAAAATCCCGAAATACATCAATTTTAGATTATAAAATGATATCCTGCAAAGAAAAAATTTCACTCCTACCTTCAACCTCCTTCGAGTGACAGTTGCAACCCCCAAATTTTTGAATAGGTAGTAGGTGCTTGCGATACCTTATTTAAATGGTATCTACGTTCTTTTTTAAAAATGCTATGATTTTCAAATTTATTGCAAAAATTAACTGTGAAAATTAATTTATCTGACGATATTATTAAAAAAAAAAAAACATAAAAGGTTATCTGCAAAGTGGTCACTCTTAATTTCATTTAAAACGACCTAGCAAGTTTCTGCGTGATTGTAACCGGGGGTGGTCAAAATAATCAATTATTAGATTAGTAGATTTTTTTGAAAAATCGATAATCCATTGTTTTTATTTATAATCGAAGTATTCGATTAATCGATTATTGTCGATTAGTCGAATATTTTGACCACCTCTAGTTACAATCACGCAGCAAGTTGCTAAGACGTTTTAAACGAAATTAAGAGTGACACCACTTTAAAGAAAGTCATTAATTGTTCAGAGAAATTAATTTTTTTACTGTTAATTTTTGATGATAATTTTAAAAATCACAGCAGTTTTGAATAGAGAATGAAGAGACCTTTTAAATGAAGTATCGCATGTCACTTTGTAATCTAAAATTAACGTGTTTCGGGATTTTTTGTAAATATGCACAATAATTGATCTACTGAATTTATTCAATTTAGCTGTTCACACTGTATATATAACATTATATGTTGAATGCAGTTTATTTCATTTGAATCTAACCAATAATAGCGAATATACGCGTTTATGTCCTTTTGGCAACGCTACGCCTTATATTTTTTCATTATGTATTACATCTGTATGACATTTTACATTTAATGCTGTTTATCCCATTCGATTTAAACCATTAATAATGAACATATGTTAATGCTCTTTTGGCAATGCTACTGCGCATGTTTTTCTTTTTGTATTTTGTAACTATATGCAAAAGGAATATAATTCCAACTCAAATGTGCAAGACGTAAAATTAAATAAACACTACGCCATGTATCACATAATAAGAGCGACCATTTCTCTTCAGTAAACAACTGCTCCTTTGGCTAATACCGCAACATGTATTGAATTAAATCCAAAGGAAACAAAGCAAAGATATAAATTAAATTTCGACACTCTACCTTTGATTTTGCTCACTAAGAAGAACGTCATTCTTCTATATAATCTTTTACGTTGAATCCCGTTTTCCCTCTTCGAATTGCAGTAATAATATCGAAGATATACGTTAAATATTCTTTTGACAATGCTACTGTGCATGTTTTTTGTTAAATAGATCTCTTTCCCCATTCTTTTTCGTCTTCGACACCTTCAGCGTCTTCAAAGCAGTCGAACAAGAGAACTCGGTGGAATGTATTTTGTTATTCTTCTTCCTCTTTGATTCTTTGGATGCTACTTCAAAGTAGTTTAATGCCCTTACATGTATACTATTGATGATATAGTCCTTTGTCTCATATTTTGTTTCTTTTATTAATACAACCAATTTTCTTTTTAGCAACTAAGAGAAGTCATTCCACACATCAAAATGGAACGAAAATTATCAAAAATAGAAACATTAACATTAGCAAAAAATTATATAATGGCACTAACAAATGTCATATGTGACATGAGAGGCGAAGAAAAACATTACACGTAAGTAAAATTATTTAATACCTAGTCCCCTGAAAGTGTACTTTTACTTCTTTAATTTATGGTGGAAAATATTACTGTTTCTCACTAGATAGAAACATAACTTTTACTCGTGTACTTCATTTTATCTTATATACTCCTTTATTAGCATTGCTGATTGAAACACAGTGAGATATTTAAAGGCTTCTTTATACGCTAGTTTAGTGATGATGTAATTATGGTCCACTGACAATTAAAGTGACAGTAGATTTTTTGAGTGCGTTTTGTTCATTTTGTTTACCTAAATAATATCGTTTTTTGACTTTTTTAAATATATTCCTAAAGTAAGTAGATAACATGCATCAAATATATTATCGTTTAGTTACCAATTACATACCTTTAAACTATTTTTTATTACCTGTAAACAATATTTAGAAACAAACTAAAAACAGTAAAAACGTATATGTCAAATTTTTTGATGTTTTTGTTAAAAGTTTGGCTAGAATTAAATGTCAGTGCAACCAAAATGACATCACACTGAACTAGCGTATTCTTGTATCGTTCAAATCGGTAAAACATTGTACTTACTATTTTTCATAATAGCAATCTTAATTGTTCCCGTAATATTATTTAAGTTCGTAAATGTTCTTGTTTCATTAAAATCTTTCATTTTTTGTATTGAAAACGGTACAGAATTGTAACAGACGTCAAGGTAGTTTCAAAAATGTATTTTCTTCATTTATTCGAGTAGGTATTACTGAATTACATGTGCGTTAGCACGTACCTAGTTAGGTGTGACTTGAGAAACCTCGAATAAACTAGAATGAATTACTTTTTCTCTCTTTTAATTAATGAGTTTAGCTTTGATAGTGCGTATTTCAAATGAGCGTGTTTGTGGTATTTAATGAAGAAACAATGCAGAAGAAAAATTTCTTCGTTCCTCTATAATAATAGTAAAAGTTTTTAGTTATGAAAAAAAGTGGATAGACACAAAATATTATTTATAATAGTACAGAATGAACTGACATCAAAAACAAAACGAATTTTTAATTTAAATTCATTTCTAAATAATCACTGAAAAGGTTATAATTCCATAAAGTCGTTGAAAAAGTGATATACCTCGGTATGTGCTAAAAATAATCCTTATGTTCACTTCTTCAACGACGATAATTAATTTTTTAATTTCTTTTTAAATTTATTATTTAGGAAACAGTTTTTATTCTTAATGGTAATTCGTTGTAAAATTTTATTGCCACGTAATATGGAGATTTTTAAATATATTATTTATGAGAGTTTTTATTCATAATGGTAATTTGTTGTAAAATTTTATTGTTGTATATGGAGATTTTTCAGTGATTTTTAATTTATGATATAATGACAATTTCGGTGATTTTGTCTAGTGTTATGGTTATAAGTAAATATACTAAGTATTAACAAAACTGTATTTATTTTTATAAAGATACATTAAGCATTCCAAAATAAATAAACTATAAGCAAATATACCAATTCGCAATTCAAGCTAAGTGATACACCCTCTGAAGGAAATATGTAGAAGGTGCCTATAAGTAGGATATCGTTCAATGTTGCCAGAAATAGCGAAATTTCGCTACGTCGTCGGATTTTAGCCCTTGAAGAAGTGGATAAGACCTTTTATTTAAGAATTAAAATTTGTGTCTATTAACATGTAATCATACTCTATATTTATTTAAGGATTTTTTATAAAACCGATTTATTATATTGCTTTTTTTAAATTTCAGTTCATTTATTAATTTTGTTTTAAAATCAGTTCATCATTTGGCAACATTGGAATTAATGTTCATTGTTTATATTTTAATTTGTATCAATTATAATTCAAGTTTTTTCTTACTTTTTAGCGTTAAATTTGTTTATTTATTATAGTATGTGAAAGTATTTATATTAAAAATGAAATATGCGAAAAATCCCTCAGCAAATTGCAATCTATATGGTGTTAATGTCAAAATCAAAGCTGAAATATTCATTATTTTCCAACCATAAGCCGTAAAATTTTGTTTCTTACGATAAATGGATATCTACAAATTCACAATATTGAAATTTTGCAAAACTTTGTTTAGAATAAAACTGCAATCTGATTTGTGACGGTTTTATTACCATTTACATGTATACAAAGTAATACAGAATTCACTTCATAATATAAGAATAAGGATAGTAAGATTTTTAAATAAGTTTATCAATAATAAACGTTTTGTACCTGAAATGTTCTTTAAACCACATAATAAAACATGTCCTGAGTTTAGTAAATATATATTTCTAGATGTTCTTGTAGCAACCAATAGGTGAATATTTTTAACAAATTAAGTTATGCACATGATAAATATTATATTTATGACGAAAGCACGAAAACTAAACTTAAATTAACACTAAATGAAATTTAAAAACACTATTATAATGAGAATATTATCTAAAAACAGTTAAAAAATGACAAATACAAAATTACGCCCAAAACAAACACATGTAAATAAAAAAACATTCTACTTATAGGTGACAAATGACAGGTGCGCGAAAATTAATTTAAATCGCGAATAGTATAACAAGATTGAGATAGCAAGTCAGAATTAAATGCGCATTGGAAAAAATTAAAGATAGTTAATTTTGGCAACACTGCACAAGTGAACACAAATCTCAGATCAACAAATGAAATATAGATAAGTTACGGGCGCCTTTTAACATAATCTTTGTTTGAAGCCAGTATCTACGAATTTTTGACAGTTGTGATCTCCATGGGCGTATCAAATAGTCTTTTCATCAAACATACAATTTTATTTTACAAAAAAAAATTCTGCTATTGTTTATTCAAATGTAATCAACAATATTTATAAAACAAAATTAGTTTTCAAATGATTACACTGTTTATATTGATTATAAGCAGATACCAGTGAACTGTATATTTAAAATGGATCAATAATCCCTATTAACAAAAGTAAACCAAATTGAACTCGCGCATTACGTCACAGGAGTACCGGCGAGATTGCGCACAAAGTGCCTTTGCAGGTCCGTTTTAATAATTTCATGTACTTATTTTAAAATCAGGACAAATTAATATTTCTGAAACTCAATAAAAAAATCCAATTTACTCTTCCGTTATATACCTAAAGGTGGTATTCTTGCCACTTAAAGTGATAAATTTCAAATTTTTTACCATAAACGGGGATAAAATAGGAATTAGGACAGAGTTACACTTTTTAAAAGAAAGGAAAAGAATTATATGGAATCAGTCACCTCTATCTCAAAAAAAATGATGTGTAATAGATTTACTCATTTCTTAGTTTAAGAATAAAAAAACGTACTATATGCTTTGAGAGTAATTTGTAATGGATAGACCAATCTATAAACTTGTTAAAACTTACCTTTATATAGTCTGTAACCTTGTTATAAGAAGGATTTAATGGAGACTGTTAATCGTAATAGAAACAATAAGTAGATCTCTTTACGTAAACATATCAGCTAGAAGCATAAAAAGGTTGAAGTGACTAGGCCTTTAAACCTTAACTAACAGCATTAATTTCATTCAGATAATATATTTACATTTAAATAAAATGCTAAAATAAATTAACTGTAGCCTTATTAGTAAAATAGTAACATTAGACCCAGGCCTAAATTGAAATGATGGTCCCTCAGACCCAGCCTTTTTCTTGCCCGTATATATACGTCTACTACAAATTAAGATAAAAAAATGCGAAAAAATGTTTTATTGAGGAAAAATGTACTTTATAATAGTAGCAAAACGATAAAAAAGCTTAAAAAATATTTTTTTAGTGAAAAAATTAAAAGGTTTCTTTTCTCCAAAACACGGAACTACACACAGACCAACTCCGCAGTTTTCGCACATGTATCTGATTTCACTTCTTTTTTTTTGTCACACTGTGGCTGCAAACAACACATCGTTTGACCTTTTTATTGGGAACTGAACTTGGAAAATGTCGGCCCGGGAATCTCTGAGGATTGTTAGTCAAAGGGCGAAAGAGTTGTACCTTGGGTGCATTATATCTGAAACAAGAAAGACAATTGTAATATGTTATGGAGTGGTGGAGTGTGATTTGAAAAAATAAATGTAGTAAACTTACTTCTCGAAAAGTTTCCGAATTAGTGTTAGTTGAAATTCTGCAAGAGGTACTCTGTCTGTGGATTGCGTCAAATACAGCGCAAGTGCGTTGAGCATAGCCAGATCAAACATGTGAAAAAATAGCTTCTTATACCATTTTGTGCTTTTTCTTACACACTCTGTGGAGCTTAGCATCATGTCCGCTCGATCTATTGCACCCATATTTGCATTATATTATACAACACAAGCTGGTTTTTTTTATAGGCTCTTTTGTCTTAAAATCGACTTTGTCCAAAGTAACCATTTTGTCTTCATGCATAGTAGTCAACATCACAACATCACGCCTATCTTTCTATTTTACACTGAGCAGATTTTCAGTACTCATCGAAACAGTCTCGCCTTTACTCAATTTTTGTGTTAAATTTGGCATTTCTTTACGATTCGTACGAACTGTACCACAAGAATTAGTCTTGTTTTCTTGTAGGTATGTAGACAAAGTAGGGCTTGTATACCAATGCTTTCATCAATAGCAAGATTTTGGAAAGGAGTAAAATATTTTTGAAATTTTGATGTTATTATAGTAAGCACATCTCGCAGTTTATGAAAACTATCACGTTCTTCTTGCTCAGCATTACTTGCAAAGTGCAACATCCTAAGGATAGCAACTTATCAGATGACCAATTTTCTCTTATCTTGTTTTGTCCGTGCCCCCCTACCAGTAACATGACGCCCAGAAACACGTAATATTCATTGACTGTAAGTTCACTCCACTTCAATTTTATCGTTGCAGAAATCTCAGAGGCATATCTATAGATTTCAGCTACAATTATCTCTACTAACTCTGTATCCATGAATAGAAGGAAATAAGATAGAACATCTGACTTATCTGTGATTGTCTCCAAGTGTGCCCCAGACTCAGAATTATCAAAAGCATATATTTTGG